GAGTTTTCTAATGATACTGTCACCTGTGGCCAAAACGCAGAACTGCAGCAGACTTTGGCTCGTTGTTGTACCTCGCACTCATACTTGACAAGGTTTTTTTTTTAATTTTTTTACTTCGTTCACCTAACATGGAGTCGTCATTGGTGTCTGAGTTGAGCTGGATGTGGGTGGTTGAGTATCCATAACATCCATCTAGAATATAATGCTTCGATTGTTTGCTAGATTGGACCCATTTAATAATAATAGTAATAATTGCATTTTTTGATCTCACGTTGGAGAAATTTACCTCTGCAATTAACCATCTTCTGGGGAGTAGTGGGCTGCCATAGTGGGGCGCCCGGGGAGCAACTGGGGGTTAAGGGTCTTTGCTCAGGGAGCCAGAGTGACAGTCTGTGGGAGTGGGGCTCGAACTTAGAACCTCAGGATTCCAACCTCAGTGCTGAACTACTGAGGTGTGAGTCTGCTCTTTTAGTCATAAAGGGTCAAACAAAAAGGCTATTATAAAGCTGTTTTTCAGTTAAAAACTTACAAAATGTTTCTCTTAACATTTTCTCATATTTCTTTATATTTCTTTATTTCTCTTCTTATTCATCCACTAACTTTTAGTATAAAAGCTAAGCACTGGTTTATGCCCTGGAGTTCAACCCTCTGACTGCCTTCATTGAGTAGTTTGTTTTGTGTGTGACATATGTTCAACTAAGTGCTAAAATGATAGCATTATGCAGTTATTGCATATTTGCCAGATGAAAATCAAAGATGTAAATCCATTTCACCAAATTGTGAAGGTAAACTGTTGGACTGCATCCAATTACTGTGGTAGCCATTGCAAAGTTGTTTTCATATTCCAGAGACTAGTTAGGGAAAATGTGAATTTTCAGACAGGGTGGATTAGCCTCCTGGAAGTCAGCAGAAGATGGATACAATTGATTATTTTCCACTTTGTTCTTGTCCATTTTAATTAACCTTTGTTAATTGTGGACTCAGTTTTTCTTTTCTCAGCCAATAGGCCTGGCACTGAGGTGTGGTCTTTTGCTGCTGCAGCCAATCCGCCTCACCTTTTCAACCGTTAAACACTGTCGAATAACATTCCAAATATTTTAGTTGTAAGAAGTGGTCATTTTAAACATTGTTTCCTTTCTTCCTTCTCAAACTAAGAGATTGAACACAGCCCTCTGACATAAGGGGAGCCGTTTCTATAACACAGCTGCTTCACTATTTTCTCTTTATGAACCACTCACTTTAGACCTGATAAATGGTTTAATGTGAAAATCCAATTAGATCAACAATTTCTGACATGCGCCTCAACAACCGTACCACAGTCAAAATCACTCGAATCCCGTTTCTTCCAACAAGCTGCCTACCCCAAGTCTTGGAGAGGAAATGCATCAAGTGGCTGTCAAGTGCAATCCCCCAAATTAAGTTTGACCTAAGGACACTTGTCACTTACATATCCTGGACCACGATATACTGGTGTGGAACCAGGCCGTCGATGCCGTTGTGCCGTCCCTCCCACCAATCTTCAGATGCTCGCTGATAAAGCAGCAGAGAGGCTCCCTTCTTGAAGGACAGCTCTCGAGAGGAGCGCCCAACATAGTCGAACTTGGCAATGGCTTCAATAGGCTCGCCCTCTGTCAAAAGAGAGAGGATTAAACAGGTCAGGTACGTCAAACATGGCGTACAACAATGAAAGATGGAAGATCGCCACAACCGTCAGCGATTGCGGTGACTGATACAAAACTTACAGTGCATTGGTTTCAATGCTAACACACACAGTAGTTTCAGTACACGGTGTTTCAGTGCGCTAATCTGGTTGGTTATTTTAGTTGTAGTCAATATTAACTGGGCCGCACTGGGCCACAACAACAAAAGACCCTGAGGTGCTTTAGCAGGGTATTTATAGAAAGTTTTGTGGGAGGATCTATATGACTCAGGGGCATGTCAGTCAGTACAGATCAGTGCACAAGGATTGATAACTTCTTATTTACTGCAGATGAAGCATAAAATAAAACTCTTTCTGGACAACACTCTTTAAATGTTTTCCTTGACTTTACCTGCATGGTCTGATGTTAAGCTCTTATGTTAGTATCTTCAGTCGCATTTTGTATTCTAAGTACCCTCCTCAGAGCCCCTATGCAAGCACTCCGGCAACACATATCTAAAAATAGCAGCTTTATTTCTCCTGCACTCCTACCTCTGCTCTCCATGCACCACTCTTTCTCACTTCATGTCAGACAGGGGGTCCCTGAAAGGAAAAAGCTTCAATCTAACACATATCCCACCTATATTCATATTATATAATCTCATTTTAACGGCAGGACAGGAACTTCCACGTTAGGTTTCAGGTAAGGCAATAAATAAAATATGTTATGGTTTTTATTAGATGAGTTAAAGATAAACTTCCAAAAATGTTTTAGCACAACTAGAGCGCCAGTACTGACAGGGGTGACATGACTTGGCTCCAGTAAGAGAACAAGACAACTAAAAATTTATTGTCTGAATTAATTGGGTTTTACCACAGCGGGCGAAGCTGTTAATAAAGCTGACAGCAGGCGGCATGATCCACAAAGAGGACTTCCCCTCACCCTTCAGCACACACATCCATCCTACTCATGCACAAATGTTATTGCAAGATTTTTGAGCTGCAGTGTTGTGGCTAAAGCTCAAAGTGGAAAGCTACAAACTAAATTCTCATTGTGGTTTAAGGGCCCTCTGGGTCATATCTAATTGTATATTACTGAATGATACTAAAACGGAAGGTAGATCTCACATAAACTCCACACACTTGAAAGCAAAGGCTGTTGACTGTGAAAGTTGAAGGCCTGTGTTGTAAGAGATACGAACTGTCAGACGTCTTCCACAAGCCAGTGGAGCGCTGTCTCTTTGTCTTGCTCTGCCGCATTGTTGATGTAATAAAAAGGGGGCAGAAGCTTTGAGATGTGCTTCTGGTCAGAGCAAGAAAAGAAGGTAGAAATATATTTATTCTGCATTAGGCGCTTTTTTCCTGAACTTCTGACTACACCAGAGACAGACCAGAGCAGGGAGGCCAGTAACTTAAACATGATTCTTCATAAAAGTAAAGACCCAGTCTGTTCAGGAACATAAATTTTACTTAAACACATGCAATCCAATCTGGACTGCAAGCACATGGGGGCATCAGACAACGAGGACATCCTGATGTATTCCTGCAAAGCGATAGATAATCAATGTGCCAGTTAGTTCATCCCTGACCTTGCCGTGATTTTTACCAGCAAACAGCACATCGATGAAATGACGCTGCACCAAAGCTGTTATTGGGAAGAAAAATTCCCTCACTGCAAACCAGGTAAAGTATACACATATCATATAAGGTTTATTTATTTTTTTTTTAAGGGCCAATGTTCATTTGGATTCTCATTCCTCTCATCATCAGCGTGATAGCCTCAGCATCAAATGCTCAGTTTGGATAGGTAGCAACACACAGTGGCCAGAAAATTTCAGCTAAAAAAAGTCATACATAGATAATGTTGTATGCATCAACTGAGGGGGGAAAAGGTTAAAGTTTTATGAGCTGCAACATTTATTTATATCTATATCATCATTTCCTCCCAGCTGCTTTTAGACCTTATAATCTCCCAACAGTGTGTGTAACCATGCAATTAGTTGCACTTTTCATTTTTATCTGATCAAAAACTGTTTTTTTTTAAGCATGGTCAGTTGCACTCTTTCTAATCAGCTCAATGTGTTTTTTCTTACCTAATTGCTTCCATCTGTCAAGATGTTAGACTGTTTTGTTCTACCATCAGGCATATTGTAGTCTCCCTATTTATTTGAGAACTAGATGCCATTAGTATGATTTTCTTTTTAACTTGAGCATTTTTCAGTTAAATTTAAACATCTTGTTTTCACTACTAACCTCATCGCTCAGACCATGGTCAACGCAGCTGCAGTTGACTAAGTTTTGTTTGTCTTTGGTGTGCCACCTTTTATAGCCACTCCTTATAAAACCCTCTGCATTAAAACCTCCATTATATATATATCCTCCTATTTGTTTGCATAGTTTTGATCTCAAAGAGGTAATGAAACACTTTAGACTTTTAAATGCAAAGCATGTACAGTTATTTAAGAAACACCTTTAACAGAAAATAACATAAATTTAATCTAAAGTCTAAATTATGATTAGAAAACTGCAAATTGTTCAGAACTACTTCAGCATTTGAACTCAAACTCTTTTTGATTCTCAAAATAGCTATATATTAAAGATGTGAAATATTAGTATACGGTACTCTTTATATATTATTGTTATACTATTTTTAGTGCTGCCATAAGAAAATCTGTATTTATTATTAATATAAAGGCTTTAAATTCAATTAAAGAAAAGGATACCTTAGGGAGAAGAAAATAATGTCATGTCAGAGTTTTTTCCTTGGACAACTGTAAATCTAATTATAGCAAAAAGCATTATCCACTCTACTCTCCTCTGCCTCCATCTTTGGAACTGCTATCTAGAGGGATATTTGGGGGCTACATGGTGGTGCATTGTTGTTGCAGGGAAAAGGTGGAGTCCCCAGCATTGGGATTGCCTGCATGGAGTTTCATGGGTTCCTTCATGGGCTCTCCTGCGTTCTCCCAAAGTTCAAATACTGTACTGACTGTTGGGTTAATTCGTAACGCTAAAGTAAAGTGAATCTCTTGTGTTTTCCTGAGATGGAATGGCGACATGTTCAGGTTGTACCCATTCTTTGGAACATAATTGTTCCATGATTCTGAAGAGGAAGACATCAGAATATTCTGCAGGATGTCCAGCTTGACAGCATCAAGTTACAGCAGTGGGCATCAGAAGCTTTCATACATGTCCTGCTGCCATAAAGACAAATTAATATATTCTGAATTTGTGCATATTAATGCATAATAAATGTCTTTGTGTTACTTGAGGAGTTATTCTGGTATATTTCTACTATAATATAAATGATATATGTCAGGCTGCACAATATGATGAAAACATGTAATTCCATACTGTATGACAATTTCTAAAAGACTCTTTATGAGCTTTAGTATTAGAAAATACATCAGGTGAGCCAGTCACTGAGGGCAGATCAGATAGAACACTGGATTGCAGAATTTGAAATAAATAAAATATTCTTACAGTTTGCATCAAAGAGTCCTTTGCGGTCGCGATACCAGAAACATTTATATAGTTGATGATGAGTGTGACTCAACATATTTTGCAACTTTTCCCCAGTTAAGGCTTAAATCCTTCAATAAAAAAAACTGCTTTATGAAATATTAGAAACAGATAATTTTCCTCATTTTTAAAAGCAATCCTATCAACTGTTATCCTCAAAATTTCATGGAGGAAAAGTCTAAAGGATTCAGTCAGTGCTGCGTCTGACAGATTTAATAAGATTTGTTTATAAAAAAAATAGGGTGCCTTTTGATAATTAAAGAGGCATTACAGAGTTTTTTCACCTTAGGGGAGTCGCCATTGGTGTCTGAGTTGAGCTGGAAGCCGGTCCCTTCTGAGTATCAACAAAATCCTTCTTTAATTCAAAGCTTCGATCATTTGCTACTGTAGGTTGCACCTATTGACGCGCTTGACATCACATCTGCCAAAAATCACAGGACCTTCCAACCTGAAGTCAATTCAAGAAAACAGGCTACAGGCTTATAGATGTCAGTCTGGTAATCAAATCATGTTTTAATCATAAGGGGTCGAATAAAAAAGGCTTTTTTAAAGATATTTTTCAGTAAAATCTTACATAATGTCTTTTTAAGTACAGAAAGTCTGTTTTCTGACGATTCCATTTCCATGCTCATAAGAATAAATCAACTTTAGCAACAACTTAGGGCCCCATTGGTGAAAAGGGCTCTTATCACCAATGAACATCACTATAAATAATGAAGTTCAGACTCTGTTGTAGACTTAAAACATAAGTTTAAATTCTTCCTTCCTCAGATTAATGGTATCCACCATGTGCAACCTTACAGGATATGACATTTTTTTCTGCAATCTGCTCTAATTTCCCCTTTTTTTTCTTGCTGTAGCCGTTTAAGTGCATTTTCTGCTCCTTTGCTTCCAGTTTTTTAATACTCAATGAAAGCAAAGATATGAAGTCAGAGCCCTGCACCAAAAATATTTTGTATATTTCTTGTGCAAAAAAAGTTATTCTTTCATTTAGACGACCATTGGTGTTGAATTACACTCTTCTGTATTTAAACATTTAATTTCAATTTTTTTCAAAATAGGGTTATCAGCTTCATTGTATAAACTATAAAACACTTCATAAAGACTGCATCTTCACCATTATATTCCACTCACAGGTTTTAGACTTAACAGGCTGTCTATTTATTAAGATAATATAAAAGCTCAGCATTTTGAATTAAAAGTTTCGTGTTAATTAATTATCTCCAAGACATGTGAAGAAAATCTAACAAACAAAACATAATTCTTGAAAACAAGACCTTTAAGAGACATCAAAAGGTCTATAGGCTACAGACCAATGTGAGCTTAGGAATATGGAGATGTTTTGTGTTCAATATGGAGAAGCAGTCCATTACAATATGAATATTTGTCCATCATCTGAGACCAGGACTCTGGCCATTAGAGGTTAATGAATTTAACAGCCCTGAAATGGAGGATTAACCATCCAGAGCTCACGTCTTATTGAGTCTATTCATGAAAACACCCAAACAGGAAGGAAAACCTGAGATTGGGATAAGGGATACAAACTTGCAGCACACAGAATCATACTATTTTAAAGTAAATAATGCTCAACTTGGGGTTTAAAAAAAGACAAACTGAAGTGACATATGAGTTAGATATTAAAATTACTGATCGTGACTTGGCGTAGGCACAAATGTATGATTTTTTAGCCACCCACCATCCTCGCTGGTGTGCGTCTCGGCCCCTCCCTCATTGTCCACCTCTTCCAGCGCCCCATGCTCGCTGTAAGGACTTTCACTGTGGAAAAAAAGAAACACACATCAAGAACAAAATCAGTTCCAAAAAAGTTTTTGTGTAGAATCGTAGAGTTTTACGATTCTATTTCTCCTGAGAAATGATGAAGAGATAAAGTTTTCCTCTAAAAGGTTTGGAAGTGTGAATGAAATATAGAGGCAGTTAAAAAAAAAACGACTGTCGTTATTACTTTATTTGAAAGTCTCGCAATCACCATCCATTCTTGGCCCTCGTTTTCTAAAAGCTCTTCCTCTGGCATCTGCCTGTGAGAGCTGGCAGTAAGGCCATACGCCCCTCTCCACAGACTACCACTGCCAGGAACTGAGTGTCCCTGCAAGAAAGAGCAGTGAAGCTGCCAAGACAACAAATCTCCAAAGGGCTTGGTAGGCACTACCGGGGGACACGGCTGTTCTTGGATGGGTGATTAGTTCTAGTCAGGGATAAATCGCTGTCAGCCTCAACAGAGGCTGATAAAGACAGGAAGAAACCAGAGATAAGCCCTGCTTACAGATGTGGGACTGGCAAGGAGCCCCGAGAGTGACCCGTCTGACTGCAGTTTGGATTAATCATTGCTGCTTTTCCCCAAAGGCAATTTAAGTGATTGTTTCAGTCTGCCTCATCTATAAAAAAAAATCTATAGAGAGTCAGCACCGATACATGCTCTGTCTCATCATGTTCTACAACCACAGCTGCCTAATTGGTGTGTAAAATCACACTTATGAACCACACAGAAGGCTTCAGTAGTGAGAGCATACCTACATGTTTAGTCAGACCTCTATGAAAGAGTGTTGGCTGTAGGCCTGTGGTGCATTAACAAAAAAAAAAACAAAGCAGAGATGAGAAAACCACCACCACCTGTCAGACTTCTAACCTCCATCGCATTTGGGAATTCTTTGCAGCTGCATGCAGTGACTTCATTGGGATTTTTTGCACCTTTGGCTTTAATAATAGGTAAGCTATGGGATGAGCCACAGAGGGCTGCAACAGGACATCCTGGTAGTTACACTTTACTGTACGTTCAATAATAAAGACCAAAAATCATATTTGCTGTTACACTAAACTTTTCAAAAGTGTTCATATCCCTCAAACTTCTCCGCATGTTGTTTGTGAGACTAAAAGAAAGCAGTACATATTTGTCACACAAGCAACAGGATGTATGATTTTAATAGAATGGAGTTTATTTTTATTTAACCCTGTTGGGTCAACAGTTCCCTAAAGCCACATTTTGATACAATTACAGCTGCAAGTTATTTAGTGTGTTTCTTTGCTCTGTAAATACGGAGATAGAAAAATCATCCCTTTCTTTAATGAACAAGAGCTCGAGCTCATTCAGATTGGATGGAGGGAGACTGGAAAGAACACTTTAATTCCTGCTGTAGTTTGACCAGGTGTCCGCAACCTGCAGCTCTGGAGTGCAAGTGGATCTTTGGACCCTCTACTATGACTTTAATAGTGGCTAAAAGTGATAAATAAGCTAACTAGTGTTTTATGTTTTAAATGTTTTAAATACAGCATAACAACGACTACCGGTCTTACAAGCTTTAACACGTTTCTTAATTAATATTCAAATTTATTTTTACCAATAGAATGGCTTTAAGGGAAATAGAAATATGATTTTTCTGGTCATTATGTTTGAAATGACATATTTTTTTTAAATTTGTTTCCTTATTTTTTTCCACATTAAATAACACCATATAGAAGAAACCCCACACTTCTTTTTGATGTCTCATAATTAAATGTTTTACCTTGTTTTAAAACCTGAAAGTAAAAAAAAAGCTATTGCTTGTTTAAAATGGCAAGAGATTTTTTACAGAAGATACAAAAAAAATCTAAATAATATTTGCAGCGCTGAACAACTTTTATTTAGCTAGAATCTGGGCGAAATGGCTATAGAAGATCAGATGATGTAACTACTATGCTGCTGAACGTACTTTTAAAACCTTATTTTCTGGGCTATAGAGCGGTCCTAGGGTGGCCATATGTCCGGCTTTGGGTCCGGATTTTCATTGCAACGTTAGGGGTCCGGCACAGCATCCAGTCAAACGCCTATTTGTCGTCCTTTATGAGGCATGGGGCTTGTAGAGCAAGTTTTTTTTCCCATTTTTGCTGAGCTGCATCCAAATATCCAATCATAGAATGTAAAAAAAAATGCATCGACTGTCTGGTCTAACCGATGATTGTCTAAGAGTGGTGCTGCATCAAATAAATATCCACTTTTCATTGGTTAAAAAAGTAAAAAGGGATCAGAGTACTGTTAAGATATACATTGACAGAAAGTTAGCATCATGCCAAAACGCGAGACATCGTTAAACTCTGAAAGGACAAAAGAGCATTTATTAGAGAGAATTTAAAGCGAAAAGTAGTCAAGACTCAGTCCTTTGCACACTTTGTCAATGTGGTGTTGATGTAAACAGTCAAGAGAAAGCCTCAAAGGAACGGCATGCAAGGACGGCTTAACATAAAAGTAATAAATGTGCGGCAGGTACCTCATCAGTGAGGGTTTTTTTTAAATCAAGTTTCGCCCCTTGATGCTAAAATAACTTCTGTAGAGCTGTACAAGGTGTACCATACTGTAAAAGATCACCAGTCCTACAGAAGTGTAGACAGTGGCATGGAAGTGAACTGGGAGATTTTTCCGTGACTCGCCCAAAGCTAAAGGGATGACCATAAAAACAGGTCTGCTGCACACACAAGACACTGAAGACAAGTTCCCAAAAGACCGAAGCACTGAAAAAAGCTATACTTTTTGAGCAGTTTAATGTGCGTGTTTTGTTTTTTTTTCCAATTTCTTTTGTTGTTTAAGAAAAAAAATAGTTTTTTTAACGATTAAGTCCACACATCTATATGCTCTGGATATAGCTTAGTGACTGAAGAAAACGTTTATTTTATCTTAAATGAAAAATGTTTATATATTTTTTACAATCTTGTAATAATTACTGCTCTAAGTTGGTCGCTCTGTCAGTTAAAGGCATGTTTTACAGTCTCTATACTCCATTTAACAATTAATCGATTACTAAATTAGTTGATTATTATTTCAATAATCGATTAATCACAATTAATATAATTAATTATTTCAGCCCTACTGGGAACTAATGCTTTTTTTTTTACTTTTCATTAATATTTCCTAAAATAATATTTCCTCGCAGCTACAGAAGCATCCTCTTCAAGCCCCTAAAAATTGTAATATAAATGATTTTTATGTACACCCAAGTAATATATTGATATGCTGCATAATGTCCTCTTTTTTCGATGCTATAGAAATGACCTCCCTAAGCACACCTCACTATTAGCTGCACCCGCTTCATTTATTTTTTTAAACCTGGAAATGTAGATATATAAGCTGCACCTAGCTATAAGCCAATGATATTTACTGAACTGTCTCAGTATACAGTATTGAGGCCTTCACAAAACAACTATATCTATACTGAGATTAAAAAACATTAAAAGTGGACTCGAGGCTTATTAAATTACTTTTTAATGCAGGTGGTTGTATTGGAATTTATTTGGGGATAGAATTAAAATAGGTAAATAAAAATGCACTACACACCTTTTAGCTTTAATGTGGTAAGAAGATGTGCACAGAACATGCAACTTTTCTTCTAGTTCAAAGACAACCCAGGTAAAACACAGAAGTTTTGTGGTTTTAATTTGACCACATGTGAAACATTTTCAGGGGTGTTAATAATTTAGCAAAACATCATAGGAAGTTCCTGTGTTCCCTACCAGTAGTCGCCTCCAGCCATGCACTTCTCGTAGATGGGTCCCTCCAGCTCCTTGGCATCAGGAAAGATGGTCTCATGGTGGATAATGATGGTCTTGATTATCTCATTCACGTGAGCCTGGCAGGAGACCTGGTCTTGGCTGTCTGGTGTGGGCATGAGTGTGGGGCCGAAACATATGGCCAAGTTGTACGGGTCCATCATGTTTTCATCACTGTACTGTGACAGACTGGAATGAGACAGAAGGAATTAAAGAGATTATTTGAAGAATTTCCTCTAGCACAACTTGAAAGAAACCTTAATGAGCAGGGAAAAGCACATAAGCTTGGAGGTTTAGGATTAATTGAAACAAGTCTGTAGACTTACTGATTGAGGAAGGCAAAGAGGTAACGCATTACAATGAGGACTGATCTGGGAATGGTTAGAAGGATCTTTCGGATGTACAGCGCTCTCTCATACAAGTTTTCTATTCCTAAAAGAGAAAAAAGAGACACATAAAATGAAATAACAACATTGTGTCGGTCATCGGAGTGAACCTTCTGGGCTTTTTACTCTGTACACTCCTTTCCATGTCTAACTTTGAGTTCAATAAACAGTATGATGTTCCTTTTGGGCCTATTTTATTGTCTTTCTTCAGAAAAGACCAAAACCTACTTTGGAAACCTTTATACAAGGTTGAAGATGGCTCAAAGGTCAAAGATCGGGAGGTTTATTGTATTTTCTCACATATAAATAACTCAAGTCAAAACAAGCCTTGTCTACTTCTCTGGTTTGTTTTTCTCACACTGTTGTGGTACCTTGTGTATTTATATTTAGATTTTTTAGAATAGATGAGAAAGTCTCTGTTTACCTCTGACTTAATTTCAGTTCAGCTATTTGAAACAATAATATTAATCCCAAATGAGACAATATAAAATTCTCATTTAATCTATCAAAAAACTATTTCCTTTATTTTAAGCTCAAAGTTAATATACGTAAATCCCAGAATTATTAACAATTAAAATAACAAAATCACATTTTATTTAATTTTCTAAATCCACATTTTATTTCATCATTCAAATTGATTATTTATGTATATTTCTTAAAGTATAGAGGACAATCAGTTATTTCCACGTGGATCATCTAAATAAGTGGCCCTTCTAACTGTCAATCATTCTGGTGATATGTTTATATAAGGCCGCCCTACCTGCTTGTCCTGTTAGCTATCTTTTTCTGTGCATGCGCACTTTCAAGCGTATATATGTACAGTCATCGAAGCTCACCTTTCACACAGCTGTTCTTTGAAAATGGCCGAGGGTTGTAAGAGGAAAAGAGTCTACAAATTGAATGAGAAGAAAGGCCTCAGAAGAGGCCGATATATCCCAGAATGCTTTGCGCTTGTTCTCCTCGCAAAGCATTATGGGATTTGCTGTCAGACCGGTACACTGTCGCCATAGGCTGTCACTACCGACAACGGCGACTAATAATAAAGATGGCACAGGCACCATGCAGTGAAGGAGGAGTTACGTGGGCAATGGGGAGCGATAAGTAGTGATCATCTGTCCTAACGGTCAGTTAACTGAGTTGGCTATAAAGTCCCCTATATAGTCCCCGCTCTATAAAGTGATAGAGGGACTTACAGGTTAGGGCGGACGTTCGGACACAATAAATTTGTATGAGCTATGAGAACAGCTACTTTTAAACAGAGTGTGCACGAGGAGAAATGGGTTTGTGCATGCTCTCGCATTCGTGGAGAGGGCGGGTGTTTTAAAAAATTTGTGAAAATCCTCCCCAATACCTTTGAATGATAGAGGCATTGGTTTACTGTGTATAACCTATGTTAGAATTTTTATTAGCCCAAAAAACTAATTTTATTTTTTAAAAGTACTCTGATTCCTGTGAAAGTAAGTGCAATTAATTAACCGCCTTGATTGATTACATCCCATCTTTTAACAGTTACTCTTATAAGATGAGCTTAGGACTTATTTTTTGCAGCACCGCTGAGGAAGAAGGAGTGTAGAAGTACCCTGGGAACTAAATAAACCTATAATCCTGTGAAATGTCATGTGTATGTGTGTGGGTTCTTCCATCCACATCTGTATACCTGAAATGTGGCACGCCTGTATTAGTTACATTCATCTTTAACTCCAACCAGAGAAAGAAAGGAGTGAATGAAGTTTAGACTATCTACTGAGGACAGCAGGGATAAGAAGCAGTATCTTCTGCTCCATGTGAAAACACCAACTCTCAGAAATAATTCAGAACTGAGGAAAAACACGCAAAAAGAGGAAGAACTCTGCAGTAAACTTCACAAACGTGCCTTCAGATAAAGACCAAACACAAACTTCTTCTGCACTTCTGAGACATGCGGGGGGGGGGGGGAAGCAGGCACTTGTGTCTTCCATCGCCGCATCATTTGTTCCACCTGAAGCAGCCTGTGCGTTGTACTCTGAGAGGCTGAGGCTGTGCTAAAAATAACCCCGTCATCCTCTAGCCCCTCTGCTTCATCTGGGATTTGGGCTTCTGGAATACTTGTGATGCGTTTCACTTCTCATGAATACCTAACTAGGACTCTCTATGTGGTTTTTCAAACGTCAGACTCTAATATTTAGTCGCCTACTTTGATGTAGGCTTCGTCATCACAACAAATAAGAAGCTTGGCTTCAAGTTTTTTTGTCTTGTCTGAGTTTCTCTAAAATGTTGTTTTAATACATTTAATAGTCTTCTGCACCTGCAGTTCTAACTTTCATCACTGGAATGTAAACAGGGATTCCCCAATCAATCATCCAGCAACTACATAATGAGAGAACCAGGGAAATATTCAAAGCCTCTTTATCCTCATTAAACACCACAACACGCAAAAGATTTAAAAGCTTGAAAAGTCAAAGCTCACATGATTGTTCCTCAACACAATCAACCGCAAGGCAGAGGCAAAAAGCATGAAGACATGACTTTGTGGGAATTTAATTATTCTCTACAAGAATGAAAGATCCCACATATAAAGCCTTCCCTCATGTGTTTCCTCAAACTGCTGATGAGGCAATTTCTATGTGGTAACTGCTATCATGTAAGAATAGGTTTTTATAAACATGATGTTTTTAAAAAAAACACAGAAAAATAAATCAATTCCTGTTATTTCCTCGGGCCACCCCTTGCCCACCTGTTTCTGGATAAATAATGATGCAAGCTCACTTACAGGATAGGAAACTTCAGCTGTTTAATAAAACATTTATTGCAGCCCTATACAAGGATGATGTAACTAAAAAACACAATACTCTGAAGATCATAGCATTGTGTTATGAATTATGTTGTCAAGCTACAAGTGAAAGATAACCAACCGAAAGACAATTGCTTGGCGAATTCACCAGGTAGTACAAGCTTCTTATCTATGCAGACTACGGTGCTGCTATAGTTATAGTAAGATAATTGCTCCATACTTCATATTATCCATCATGCACGACGTATAATAATCTGCAAAACAAGTTCTTGAATTGCCGTACTTTCCGGACTATAAGCCGCTACTGTTTTCCCACGCTTTGAACGATGCAGCTTATAAGAACGCCCTATAAGGAGAAGTGGCTTTTCTGTGGATTTTGCCTAAACACTAGAGGGAAAAGTCAAAGTTGGAAATGAAAGAATAAGGGGCTATGTGTGAGGCTCCCCCTACAGGTTTGGTGGGAGACAGTTCAGTAGATATCAGCAGCTTATAGCCCAGTGCGGCTTATTTATGTACGTTTCCAGTTTTTTTTTTTTTTAAACTTAGTGTGCACTGAGGAAGAGTTTTTTGTTTTGAACTCTTCAATTAACTTTTGTATTGAAATCAAATAAATAAATGTGATATGAAACAGTTTTAGTTAAAGGTATGGTAAAGCTCATGGTTCATATACAGAAGCTTTAGTCCTCAACAGTGCATTCCCAGGTCTTAATCAAAACCAGTGCCAAATGCTGACAAGCCTTCCTTCTATCTCTACACCCGTTCTTGTCCATCTACTTTTAAATAAAGGCCACAAGTGCCATAAAAAAATTATTTAAACTATTATATTACTTCATATAGAAATATTTTTCCTTACTCCTTAGTGAATCTAATCAGGCCTAGGTAAAAAAAGAAATTCTTATGGTAATTTCAAATCATGTAAAATGTGATAGGAGGTAGAACTACTTTTAAGTTTAGAGGCTGCTTTTCCACACAGGGAAACACTGATCTGGATGTCTTTGCTTCCTTAAATAAAAAGATTATTTTGAAATATAGTTTTTTTTTTTTTTTGTAAATCAAATAGTTTTAGATGATTCGACACATTTAAGCGTGAGAAAAAAAGGAAAAGTAATCTCTATGTGGATAAAAGCTTTTTCACAGTACTGTGAGTTTTTGGCACATTTTAATAGAGGGTTGAACCTTTTTAGTCTGACATTAAAAAAACTCAGAGAAACTTCTATTGGGAGTGGTGAAAAAGTGAAAAGCTTTCAATTTTTAAATGGTATCTTAGTAAAAAAAAACTGTAGAAAGATCAAGAAGATGCAGTATGTGTACTTACTAATGCAAGACAGCAGCTCGTTGAATCTCTCTTTGGGGAAAAGAGGATTCTCCAGACCACGGAAGTAGAGTTTGAGGACCCCAGCTACCGAATTGATGTCATGATTATCCTCATCATCTATGAGAGGATCGTTCCCTAAAACACAACAACAACAAAAAAAGACCTCAGTAGGCAGCGGTGACAATATTAGTTTGTACAATCAGGACTGTTTTAATGCTATATTTAGTGGCTGGAATGTTTCAAGTTATAAATTCCGCCTCTGAATTTAATAATGTAATCAGAGGGTTGGATTCCATCAGCAGTTGATTGATAAGCCTGACACAGAAGGTTAGAAGCATAATAATAACAGATGAAAGACAGAGAGTTGGAAAAATGCTGATTTACTACATGTTGTACTGTTTGTGTCATAGAGAATAGGACTGGGTAAAAAAAACGATTTAATCAATTTTGAATCTAATACTTTAGATTTTTGAAAAAATCGATGTCTAGGGAACAAGATCAATTCGTTTTTCTAGTGACATACGTGACGTTCACATTCAAATGAGCAGGAAAGATGAACTCAAGATTACTTCAAGCCAGACAGCTGCAAATATACCCAATAGGTTGACTGGAGACATTAAAAAAGGGGGCTGACCAGAAAACACCGTGTAGTTGCTACAGACAACGCTGCAAATATGGTTTGTGCAGTGGAGATAATGCAGCTCATGCATGTCTGCTGTGTCCCTGCTGTGTCACGTCTGCTTGCTCAAGTGAGGCTTCACTTTTTCACTTTTCACAAATAAGTTTGCACTTTTGAGACAGTTTTGTTCACATCTCAAGTTTAAACTGTCTAATGTTACAAGAAAAAATAAAATACATGAGTATTTTAAAACACATTTGAACAACTTTCATTATTGTAAAAACAGATCGAATCGAAATTAATTGATTTAGAACTGTATTAATCAAAATCGAATCGATTCAGGACTTTGGCGAAAATACCCGGCCCTAATAGAGAACACAGCTGCTTCATTTCCTAATAACCATTTGGTGCCACAGAGTAAATAGACTAAACTATTTATTCTGTTGGACTATTTTTCGTTAAATGTTCTAAAATCATCAGGAAGATCTGAGCTTTCCCATTTAGAGAACTCAGTATACAATATATCTAAGGAAAAGGGACAAAATCAGGGCTGAAACAATTGGATTATTCATGATTAATTTATCAATAATTTAGCAATCGATTAATCGTTTACTTGAATATAGAGACTGTAAAACATGCCATTAGCAAACAAAGCATCCCACTTAGAACAGTAATTATACCAAGATAGTAAAAAAAAATAAATAAACATTTTGTATCCTAGATAAAAAAAAAAAAAAAAAACTTTTTGTCTGTCAACATTTTAGCCTGATTTAATTTCAAAGAAAGTCTTCTTTAAGGAACCCTTGGTTATCCGATTATTAATCGAAAAAACAATTGAGATCAATCGATTTGCAAAATAATTGTTAGTTGCAGCCCAACATAAAATGGAATAATTGTGTCACAGAAATAAATCACCTCTTTCAAAAGAGTTTTTGATGTCATTAACCTCCAGTTGAGATCCAGATACTCGAAAGATTCCTTGATGCTGGAGTCCTGTTGAAGCAAATTTAAAAGAAACAAGGCAGGTTAGAATAGACCTTAGTTTTAAAAAGTCCAATTTAATTAACATAAAACACACACAAACTCCTCGATCAACCGAAATGGCTTTCTCAGCTGGGCGTAAAAAGGTACATCCTCCTATCTAAGCCCCTTCACTTTGCTAATTAAAGACAGTAATGACTCAGGGAGTCGGCAATCATGTTTTCCTGAAGTGTCTTCCAGCTGGGATTACATTTTAATGAGGGGAGAGGTCAAGAGTCGGGAGAAAGCAAAATTAGTTTGCCATTTGCCTCCTTTCAAATTGTTCTCTGAACCTTCTCACAACACAGACACATCTTGGTCTTTACTTCCAAAGTTTGGCGGTCTTTACTAATCTTAATTAAAAGACAAACTTTTAAATCAGCCTCTTCTTCAAAGCTGCTCCATGCTGTTAGATTCACAGCATACTTGGAAGCCACAGTGGGAAAAGTCTAACCTGCAGGAAACAGGACTGAATCTATATTTTCCCATAACAACGACTTAAAGTGAAACAAGCTCACTTTTAAAAAGTTACAACAAATAAAAAAATCCTAACTATTAACATCTGCTGGAGTCTTTACTGTCACTTAACGCTATAATTATAGGAACAGTTTGGCTCTGAGAGTTATTTATTAAGACACAATAATCAGAAAAATCTGATTATAGCTACTTAGCTGGACTGAATGACTCACCATATAGATTTATGTAGCGAATGCAACTTTCCACCACTCTGGGGATGGCTTGTCCAGAGTCCTTAGGGGGAAGAATAAACAAATCCACAATATTTTACTTTAAAAAAAAAATAGATTCATGTTGTTTCAGTCACATCAATGCATGTTGGAAATGCACCAATAACTAACATTAATACAAATATAAATATATATATAACAATCTGATATCTGACATTCTCTGTATGTGAAAGTTAGTTAAATGAAAAAAGATTTAAACAAATAAGAAAAAGTTTTTTCAGAATAAAACAATAAGACTTTAAGGACTAATGAAAGGACCTTATATTTGGTAGAGGTGGTAAGAGTGCATACAAGAACACGGGTTCAGGAAAGTTGGATAAAAAGCTGCAAGTTGTTTGTCTGAAAACCTAAAAACAGACTGAGTTGATGTGATTAATTTATTTCCACATGGCCAATCCCTAATGGGTACTGAAATAGAGGCACCACTGCATTTTTGGAGGTTGGTTCTGAATTTAGAGAAAACATTAAAGATATAGTGGAGGATGTTCTTCTTCCGGGTGGATCATCAAAATAGGTGGTCCTCCTAATTGTCAATCATTCTGGTGATATGTTTACGTAAGGCCATCCTACATGCTCGTCCTCATTTTTACTTCACCGATGGTGAGTCTGACATAGTGGAAGATTTGTAAATCTTGTTTTGGAAAGTAAGCTTTTATGAGCGATGCAAACAGCAACTGTTAAACAGAGCGTGCACGGGAAGAAATGGGCTTGTGCACGCCCTCACACGGGTTTTATAGGCATTACCTCTCGGGAGCAGGCACAAGGTTGTGCATGTTCTTTTTAAAGTGGAGAGGGCGGGTCTTTTCAAAAATTCGCGAAAATCCTCCACTATACCTTTAGTGTAAACATATTTTCATATTTGCAATTTACTTGAAACTTGATGAGGTAAAAAGACACTGTCTTTCTGTATAACTGCACAAAATGTAGGCATACAGTACACCACGCATTGACTGCTGAATACATTTAGATAGTTGTCTGCATCACAACCTCTTTCAATTAATTTTAAAACTCTCAAAAATGTTAAAAAAGTTAATTCATAAAAAAAATTCGGTTATTTTGAACTTTCAAGTTTTGCAAAACATTTTGAAAAATAATTTGAAACCCTGATCCATTGCCCTCCATTAGACCTCCAAGAAGACTTTTAAAAATATATATATATATATTTATCGGAACATCCTTTTATTTGAAAACATGTTGGTGCGATGCGAGGCCTATTGTCTGTATGGATTTTATAGTTATCTGCTTCTTTTTCTCTTTATTCTAAACGTCTTACAAATGTTGGAGATCAGGTTTATTTCATACTTTGAAGAAAAAAAAAATATCCTAAGAAAGAGAATTCAATAGTTTAATTTGAACTCCTCGTGACGTCTTCTTTGTGTTTATTAGAAAACAATCTTTAATGAAACAGCAATAACTTAGAAGCGCATGTATACACAGCAGCTAAAAATGATCTACTAGCAAAGCAAACTGTGCATGCCAGGTTATTATGATAAAATCTATGGCAACGATGCCTTTAGATGCAGCTTGTCACTTTTCAAGAGCATATCTAAAGACCCCTCATTAGATATAGCAGACAGGAAAAACAAAACAAGCCAAAACCTTGTGCTCCAATGCTGGAGAGACTCTGAATCCTTTTATTATCATATAGTGAATTTGTTTACAACCCCCAGGGGTATGCAGTGGTTCCAAACAGAAGAAATATGCCAATATCAATTACACTGATTTCAGCAGAGTTGATCCACAGACCAGAATAGAGCTGGGTTGTGTAAGAGGATGTCTGTTTAACATGTGAAAGTAGAATTATTGGTGCAATTATGATGCAAATGTCTCTGAAGATACGTTTTAAATTGGAACATCTTCAACTCAGTCTGTTAAAGGGTTGATTTAGTGGAATAAAAAAATAAAATATTAGTAGTTGAAAAGAAATAAGGACAGGCAAAAGCACAAGCTCTCAGCTTCTGGTTCTACCTGATGTCGGGTGTGTGAGTTCCTTCGTCCGCGGCTAAAGTGGAGAATCACAATAGGCAAAGATGGACAGAGGAAACCAGAGGTAAAGAGAAAAAAGAAAGACCCAGATTAGAACCACACCAGCTGTCCAACCAAGCGCAAAGCATAGGAGCACCTTTATTCCACCCTGTGTGGCCATCAAACCCACACAGATGAACCATGTGATCTGAAAAGGACCACGCAGCCACCAGCGAGAGGCAGCCAGGGGACGGAGAAGAGAGGCGGCCCACCTTATCAGCCTAGTATATCACTCCCACCCCCCCACCCCCCGACTGTCATTTATCCTGCTGTTTTCACTGGCCTGAGCTAGGGAGGAAATCTCTAACAGAGAGGCTCAGACGTGCCAGCTCAGCAGGCAGCGCGGGGAGCTGACCGACACAAATATTTAGCTCTTCAGCTGCTGTTGCTCCCCTCCGGCGACCCTTCAAATCTATCAATGCCACCGTGCATCACAGACGCAGACCGCCAGAGTCCACTGACTCATGCTGGCGGCTTACAGAATCCATCTTAGCGAAAATCTGTTGTCAATTAACAACATATCAAAGCTAAGATGCTTGAGGGAGAAGCAACCCAAATGGTCTGAAAGCCAGAGTGGAAAATAAAAACAGCGGAAGAAGAAAAGAAGAAGAGCCACCCAGCAGATGTTAAATTTGTACCTTGATAAATGACTCCAAATTTCCATTAAATAGCTTTACATTGAAACAAGAGCGGGGTCTAGCCCGCCGGGTGCCTGTGAGGGTTTTGTATTGCCCGTTGGGATGTCTACTGTAGAACACAAAGAATGCATTAGAATAAACAAACAACTCACTTTTCATTTCAAAGGGCCTTCCTGTGGTGTGTTGTTTTTATTTCAAACCCTTTCATGTCTTCCACACCCTTAATTTGAAGTTTAAGCTAAATAATCTTTAAATCTCTTCTACGCCGCATAACAGAAAAAAAGACAAACATGTACTTTTTTCTAAAAGATACGAAAGGCCAAAGTTAACCGTCAGACATGCTGCTATCTAGTGCCTTGACATCCATCAAATGACAGCCTCTGCTGTGAACAGCCTCTGCAGGACAGCTGGGATGGTGTGAGAGGCTTCTTGTGACCTGAAGGATCCCAGGACCTTCACGTTTTCAGCTTTGCTGCTCATTCAAACAAAAACACCTGGAGGACTTTTTGATATCAAAACAGGACATACCTTTGCCACTTAAAACAATGGTTGGTATTACACTGCCTTGCAAATAACCACAAACATATAGTTTGTTGTTATTTACAGCAGTATAATAGATCAAATCAGAATATTACATTATAATAATCTGATTTAAATCTACTATACTGCTGGAAGGTTAACCTCTGCCCTTGTTTCAAATTCTTTGCAGCCTCTGTTTTTTTCCCCTCAATATTTATCTACAGCTCCCATCAGCTCACCCTTCAATCTTCTAAACTAGCAAAAAAAAAAAAAGAAAAAGTCCACAACATGATGCTGTCACCACCATGCTTTACTGTGTAGGCTACTATATGCTGCTATAAGCTGTAACCAGTGTTGCCTTTGTTATACATCATATTTAACATATAATCAAACAGTTTATTTTCCCATTTTCACAGAATATGCTAATTTGACTTCTTTGATTAAAGTTTATGTGTGGAAAGGTAAATTTAAAGGACATTTCATTGTACTGCAGATAACTACATCATCCCCAAATATTAGGGCTTCATTTCATATTTACTCTCAGTACCGATTATGATAATCACATTAAATCAGAAAGAAACACCCGCTATGACATCACCCAATGCTTTGTAAACTAGCTTAAAAAAGAAGTTTAAGAAGTTTTTTTAGAAGTCTATATATCTTCTGTATTTATATATATAAATATATATATATATATTTTCTATCTATATAGCTTCTGTGTATATATATATATATATATATATATATATTCTATCTTATTTTGTTTTTTGTCTGCAACAACAACACCAAGTCCATTTCCTTGTAAGTGCAAACCTACTTAGCAATAAACTTGATTCTGATTCTGAAGTCTAAGATTTGACTGTCTCCAAACCAGAAGTGGCCATATTTTAATGTTAAGCTAGCGATAACACTTGAATATTCGACAAAATGTGTCTCTTTAACATTTTCCATAGACTGACAATCTTATTCAAAAGATTTTACTGAAAACCTGTGCAATAAAAAAATGCAGCCAATTCAAACCTGAGGCTTTTGGATGTAATTATAAGAGCTGGAAAAGCCACAATCTAATAGATAATAAGCCATTAAAATAATATTTGAAATATATACATCAAATACATAAATGTATTTATGATAATAGTTGGAAAAACATCATTTTACCATCATCAAAAAAGAGATTCTATGAGTAAGGTAACAATTTTATGTTTAAGGTGAACATGTTTTCAATATTTTGACAGCTAATTTCCCTACAATTGATTAATCAATTGTGAAATAGTTTCATCCTTTTTGCAATGAATGGTGAAAAAAGGCTTTGAAAAAATTAGGTTTAAAGATTTAGTCTGCACTCTACTATGAACATGAACAGCAGCTGATGTGTTTGCATGTGGCAGCGTGCATGTGTGTGGGTTTGTTGTTTTACCTTGTGGTCATATAGTCAGCCCGGTGGCCTGCAGCACGACAGGGATGAAAAAAAAAAAGAAGATAAAGTTAGAGTTGGTGGACATGCCAGGACGTGTCTCGGGTGTCCTGGTGGTGAAATGTGCACATGGTTAGTGAAGCATTTGAAGCCTGCCATCTGTCTACAACCATAGGGCCCTTCAACAACAAAAACAAAACCCCCACCCGGGACAATTTGCACGTATGCATTCACGTGAATGCTCCAGCTCACAGCTAACGCAAATACGGTCAAATACAGCCATGACATACAGACAATAAATGCAAATTCAAAACATTTGACATATAAAATGAGATATTAAATTAAACCAACTTCAAATTTAATATTAAAATTCTAGAGAGGTTTTAAAATGTTGATTTAAAACCAATTGACTCGTACTGTCCTTCAGCTCATTGAAACAAGGAGAATGAAGTAGGATTTGTCAGGCTATTCTTGTCATTGTTAAGTCACGGCTACTCTGCTCATTAAATGGGTCATTTTACAGAGACCACCGGGAGGGAAGGTCACCATGGAGACTGACAGTTACTGACTGATGTCCCACCAAAGAAGAACAATGAAAGTAAAGCACCAGCCACCTAAGACATGCTACTTTTTGCAATGGGAAGTAAGGAATCTGTCGTTTTAGAAACTTGAACAATTTTATTCTGAGCATAGCTATAAAAGTGGTGGACAGGTTTTTTATATTCCCTGTCTCTGGGAAAATGCTTGGTAAAACCAAATTTAGTTGTAATTACAGCTACAGTTTTAGTTTATACATCCACCAACTCTGCATCAAGACACTCTCATTTTTTGCCAAACAGCTCAAGCTCGGTCAGATTTTGAATTTCTAGTTGGGTTTGGATCAGGACTTTGACTGGGACATTGTAGCATACATATGCTCTGATCTAGCTATGGCTATATTATACTGCTAGAGGTTAAATGTATGTCCAACTCTTAAACCTTTTCCAGACCTTTAAAGTTTTTTCCCCCTCGTGATTTTATTGTATTTAGTTCTGTCGTTCCTACCATCTATGGCATTCTCACAACATGATGTTGCCACCTAACCTGGCAGTAGCCAGATTGATATGTGTTGAAGTAAGTTGAGTTCTACGTTATCAATCTGGGATGGCTGCCGCTCAGTCTGTCCATGAAAAGGAAGGACCTTTAGTACAATACTTCGAGTTGATTGGGTGACTTTCCAGCTACAGTAGTACCCGCCTTCCATAATATGCTTTCAGCCAATTGTAGCAGCAAATTATGTGTTTTGTAAGCTGATAAATCAAACTTTTTCCAAATTCTGTCAGAAGAAAAGCAAAGACATCTTTCCTATCTACAAATGCACAAAGTGCTTCTCTTTCCCCCTTTAACAAACGAGAAAATGTCACTATTTTAGTGTCAATTGCAGTATGGACATGTGAGTCCTCCAGCGTAGCCATGTTTGTAATGCCCGGCAAGGCTCTTCTGACTGTCCTCAATCCTACATGTCCCGCCAGAAAAAAACACTGCTGGCATGTCATTGGTCCAACCATCTGGTCTCGTAAAGAGGATACTTGCCACCATAATGTTTCACAGAAGGAATGATGTGTTCATGGATATCTCTAATGTTGGTTTTATACCAAACAGCCTTTGTCCAGGTCCCAAAATGGTAACCTTTTGGTTTCATCTGAAGAGAGCACATTCTTCCACATGCAGCATCCACACAACTACAAGCTGCCCTTCCAGCTGTTCCATTTGAGCTGGCTGGTACTGATAAGGTCATCATTTTAGTCTTGCTAGTATAGCAGTTGTGGGACAGTCTCCCTATGTTTATATAGTGATCTTAAAATGGTTCTGTGAGTTGTTAAAGGGCTGGGATTTTATGCCATGTTACCTAAAGATATTTTAAGCTTTAAATTTAAGCCTGATTTGTTTGTCAACAAACCACTCCCCACAGTAAAATGCCATGGAATAAACAGGTGACTAATGAAGTCAAGAGGAAGGATTTTATTTTGGGTTATCATAGTAAAGGGGCTGAATACAAACAAACCTCTGTTTCAACTTCTCTTTCATTTTACAGTTGTGTTGATCTACAAAAAACCTGAATAAATTAAAATTTTGTGATAGTAACCTGAAAAGAGCTATAGGAGCATTAATCCCAGGTAATATATTTGTGATGCTGATAGTCTGATGAATTCAAGGGAAAAAAATAGAGGAAGACAAAAAATAAACAGTGAGAATAAGCATAGGGGAGGGCAAGTGAAGGAAGTGTGACTGTACCATCACCGAGTGTCCTCTTGAGCAAGTCATGTTTGGCCTGCAGTTTCGAGATGAGATTGCTGCCCTCCAGAAACTCTCGGAATTTCTGTGGAGAATTGAGAGTAATTACACAGAGGCTCCGATTGCCAGCTCTCAAGACAGCAATCAGTGATAAGTCAGCCAAGGGCAAGGGACACACTGAGAGCCCTTTTAAAGCTTTTATCAGAGCATGTCCATCTTCCAACCGATCCAAGATAGGGGTTACATTCACAACATCAAGATGTTTGGGAAGAGTTAGCTCACAGATAATCCCACTTTTTTACTAAAACAATTTTGAAGCTGAATAAGATATTTTATAAACTGATGTACAATGTCATAAAAGCTACAAAAGGAAAAGGTTGTGTTTTCGTTTCTTATCAGAATGAGCTCAAGAAGACAAACATTTGACAATTTTTCAAGAGTTTTATCTACTCACAATAAAGTAGAACTGTTCTGTTTCCTGCTGGTTGGCCCTCCGCTTGGCAATGCTGGGCTTGCTGAGGTATGTCTCGGAAACAGTGGACTTGACCGACTCTGTGGAGCGGCTGTGGTGGAAGCACTCCGACACGTCATAGTCTTCAATGGTCACCATGTCCTGGATGGTGGTTAAAGTGGCCTCTGATGTCTTTTTGACCTGTTAAACAGCAGATGAAGCTATGATCAAAGTAAAAAATAGAAGCCTGCTTAAAAGCCTGACTTCACCATCAACTCCTCATTGCCTCATTTTGCTCTCACTCTCTAAAAAAAAAAAAAACACTCTCCAACTGATGGCACTAAAATATTCAGGCGCTTTCTGACAAGATGTAGAATCTTCTAAAAACCGCAGGATGTTGAACATGACTCCCAGCCAAAGCAATCAGCTTGCATGCACTCAGAGGGGCTGGAGGTGAGCGGTTCTGGCTGTAGATGGTAAATTCACTTGCAAACCTTCAAAGATTCATTTCCATAGCTGCCTCCAGCCTGTCAACACTGCTTCTCCTAAAGCATATAAATATAGAGGGTCGGCCAAGCGTACAGTTCTCCGTTCACTACAAAAGATGTTTGAGCTTTCCAAGGGCTGCAAGGCATGACTGTCCATGATGTGGTGACATAACATTATAAAGCATGGGACAAATAAAGAAAGAGCCACAATGCACCTGTAAAATAACATCAAAGCAGCGGATCTTACAAATAAAGAACTTTTCTAATTGCTTAAAGGTGTTTTCTGCTAATTAAAAAGACCTCAAAAGTACTATTATTTAACCTTTTTTTTTTTATAATATCATGCAATTTAAAAATAATATTATGAAAAATCATTAAGGTAAAACTAGTATTAATACAGCGTGATTACACTCAATTGGAAGGATTTGGATTAGTGCTGAAACAACTAATTGCATTAATAGCATAGAATAGAACGGAATAGAATAGAATTCATATGTTATTTATGTGTGTTTTCTGTGTGTGAGATTAATTGATTTTTGAAACAATCGTCAACTAATTTAGTAATCAATTAATCGTTAACTTCAGTATGGAGACTGTAAAACATGCAATTAGCTGACGGACCATCCCACTTAGAGCAGTAATTATATCAAAATTGTAAAAAAAAAAATATATTAAACTTTTGCATTTAAGATTAAATGGTCAATATTCTCTATCCAGAACTCCTCAACAGGAAAAGTTTTAGTTTCACCTGGTTTAGTTTCATAAAATATCTTCTTTAAGTAACCTTTTGCTATCCGATTGTTAATCAATTAACTTGAAAAAAACAATCGACTTACGGTATTAATCGATTTGCAAAATAACCGCAAGTTGCAGCGCAAATCTGGATACAGCTACTTATTGGCTAACAGTTCTCAGGAACACTATTCTTCATAATGTGTAATATTATATGATCAATCACATAACAGGGACATTTACGGATGGCATTTAAGCAGTTAAAAACTTCAAGGATATGCCCCATACATAAATAAACCATGAAAGAAGAGTGACAAGTATGAGAATGAGTCAATGATCCGGAAAAGCTGCAGAGAGAAAAAAAAGGCCAGGAAGACTCAGAAACAATAACAACTACCTCTCTGGAAAAATCCAGGAAACTGCTTCTTTGACCACTTGATAGAAAGACATCCTGGTGGAAATTGTTGTGACAACCCAAGGTCTGTTTGGTGCACACATTACAGAGACACTTAAAAAAAAACATTTATTTTAATTATTCTTACGAGGCCAATCCCCTCCGAATGAGAGATATGATTACAAATTTTCAGGCATTAATTAGGTCTGACCTTAATGAAAGACCTTAAAGAATTAAAGCTTAAAAAGCAAGGTGGTCTTTCATGTTCCTCTGATGGATTACGGTGCTGAAACACATGCTTAAGCACACAATGTGGATGTAGTATCAGTGTTATCCAACATGCCATTGGGTAAAAAACAAAGTACATGTTGGAACATGAGTAATGATGGCATGAAAGGAACAAAGAAAGAAATGGATGAGATGGAGGACTCTACAACCTTTAAAAAAAAAAAAACTTTAAAGTTTCTGACAGGTCCTTAGAAAAGGTAATTAAATGTGACGTACAGGCTAGTTATGTTTGGGATCCGTCTCCCACTTACGAGCCCCATTCCGGGTGGCCCCTTTGAGAAGAGAGGTCCAGCTGTCATTATGAGGACAGGAGCCATGCGTGTAGGAGAATGTCTCCCAGGGAAAAAAGCTGTTGGGTTATCCATTATTCAGTGGATGAATAGTTACCAATGTTCACTGCTAGGCTCAATTACAACAAAACTCATGGAGAACTCGCCAGAAATGCCCATCAGGTCCTGCAGCTGTGAGCCAAACTATTTATATAAACACTTAAACATCAGTATTAATAGTGTGGTTCACTAAAAATGATTTTGTGAGCCAAAAATAACTTGTTCTGTAAAGAAAATCTCAAATACATCCAGTTGTGACATTTTAAATAAGCGTGAATCTGCAGGTCAGAAGGAACTCATCATTTAACACTTATTTAACAGCTATCTATCAACACATCTCTGAAGCCAGACTGCAGTCCGATAGCTTTCAACAGATCCTACAGTAAGTGTGTAATCTGCTGATCATCAAGCAGTGAGACAGACACCAGCTTTGATGTGTCTCTCTGTAATATATCCAGAGAAAACAGTCCCTGCAGAAGAGATGGTATGAGATTGCTAGAACTTGGTGCGAAACGTTGTAAAGATAACAGCTTATTCTGCCGGTGTTTTTGCAGTGAGGACACCGGGCGACAGGAACGTTACTAGCCAGTGTGAACGTTGGGCCACAGAAAGCTAAATGAGATGCAATTTGGAAGATTATTTAATTAATCAAAACAATAAAATAAAGCAAACAGATGGATTAAGAAGCTGAAAACAGTTTTGTCCTTCCAAAAAAAAAAAAGACTGGTTTGGATTTTTAATAGAGGACTCCTCCCAGCTGGGTGTCAAATCCAGGGTCAGACTTCCGATTCTGCTACATCCACCAGAGTCAATTATTCAGCACATTTTCTTTCAACGGCTCAGACGTGCTTTGAGGATGCAGCTGCACTTCAATGAAGCTCTGCCCTGTGGCTTTTCCTGTCCCAATAACGACAGACCCTCTCTTACGCCTGACAGTGGAGAGCGCAGGTCGCCGCCGTGCTTTGAAAGTTCATTTTTCAAGGATGAATTTCGCTCACCATGCCCAGGAAGAGAGGCCATCTGGTGATCCTAACATGAAGCTGCAGCATGCTCAGATTTTGACCCACCAGGACGTCCGTTTCAGTAAGACAGGCAGTCAAGGACACCAAGTAAAGCTGGGCTTGTTAACTTCAACACACATATATACCTATTTTCTCTTTTAAATACGGACAAATAGTTTAACGATAACAGCATCATATTCTGTTTTGCCACAGAATCTAAGTTTTATCTATTAACTATCCCGTGTTGTGTTTTCCAAATAAGATTTTTTTATGGTTCGGTCTTTTGTTTCTATGAATGGATCAGCGTGTAACCTGGCATAGAGGACAATTTTTATTTTGCAAACTAAAAAATTTGCATCGATTTGAAGGGAAAACCTCTTCATATAGAAGATATTCAATATTCAATTCAGTTTATTTACATAGCGCCAATTCACAGCAGATGTCCTCTCAAGGCACTTTACAGAAACAATTCAACCAGATCATACAGACAGATTGGTTCAAACTTTTGTATCTAAGGAAAACCAGTTGATTGCATTGACATTGACTCGAAGGCAATTCCTCACACCAAGCATGCTTGTAGCGACAGTGGAGAGTAAAACTCCCTTTTAAGCATACAGCATTTGCATTTGTGAAGTCCCAATAATACATACCGGTAATATGAACAAAATCCCGATATTGTTTTCCCTCCTTCCTATTTAACTTTACCATAGAAAACATAAGGCCCTTAACAAAACCATCAAAACTCAAGGACTAATTAACTTTTTTTTAAAACTTTTTTTCAACAACTTTTACTACTTTGCAAAGCCTGCTGCAGACAGTGGGTGGGTGTGGGGTAATTTAATAACTTTATGTTCAGATTTCATTATACTCTTTGTAAGAGCATAAAGGTAAAGGAGTCCATAGAAACGTGAATAGGAACAACTGATACCTGAAGAATATGGGAAAGGCTGAGAAATGGTATAAAATAGTTTAAGTGTGCAATGTGTGCAAGCCCACACTGTGAAGAAGCAGCAGCAGCAGTCATGGCTCTAAACTCTTTCAGTTGAACATGTGTTGAAAAGGTGTAAAGTGCTGCGACAAAACAAAAATAGCAGCAGAGGTTTGCTTAAATAAAAGCATTGTGATAAATTTGTACAGAAGCAAAAAAAAAAAGATAAAATTTTTCATAGCTGCCTGTGAGATATAAATGACATGAATATATATGAGTTTGTTTATTCTATATATATGCAACTAAAACTTAGAAAATCTTCAGAGCTACTTTTTTCTACTTAAGCAGATAAACTTAGCTTAGTTTAATTCTGTAGAGCTCTCAGCCTCTTTTAGCCAAGAAACCCCAGCAGAAGCCAGATTCTAGTGAACCAAACATGATTGAGGGAGCAAACTTTCTACATATTTAACATTACCTCTTCATTCTCGATCTTCAGGGTCGCCAGTCGAGACTGTAATTGTTGAAACCTCAGGATGAGCTCCCCATTGACAGGGGGCTGTGCTGTGATATGGCACACCTGGAGGAGAGAGCTCATTATTTTCATATAGTAACTAATCTTTTCACATTCCTCTGTAGTTACAGAGCAAACCCCAGTGACCTGTGTAAACTGGAAGGCAGACAGCCACAGAGCAAAGCGCTGCCATCCAGACATGATATCAGCAAAGTGGCATCCAAACAATAAAACTCTGAACACATGTAGAGCTACTTAAATCCAGGGAAATGAATAATGCTTAACTTGCGAAATTTTGTGCCCTATAAAACAGGATGCGGCAGCCCATTCGAAATAAAAGCTTCACTTAAATGCAATAAAACCTCATTTGTCTGAAATTGTTTCTGTCCACATATTAGTGATGTGTAGTTTTGTGCACTTGCGGTTCAGAACTTTTCAATTTCTTTGATTGTAAATAATCAGCTAAGACAATTATTAGCTGTAAAACTGCTATGAAACGGCAACATCTCATCAATACATCCTTAATATTAGTAAAAAAGAAAACGTACTTCGTCCCCCATATGAGACTGGAACTCAAATTTAGTTGGTGGGCAGAAGGCTGTAGGATACATCTCCATGAACCTCTGTCGGTCACTCCGTGGGTCCAGACTGTCCACTGCATTTTCAATGATATCTAAACCTTCGTGTCGGGATGTTTCCAAGTTGTACTCTGCTGAGAGGTAGGTCCGCAGAGCCCGGTTCAGACTAGCATGGTACCCCAAATCGCAGCACTGTATAAAATAAATCAGAAGAGAAGCCTGTTGGGTTTTTTTTTTTTTTTTTTTTTTAACTAAATCAAAAAAGAAACAATTTCTCAGAAGTTATGCCATAAAAAAAAACAAACAAACAAAAAAAGGTTTCTAAAATGAATATGTGATTTGTAGTTTCTCCATGGGTTTGTAAAATTATCGTTTTGCATATTCACACACAGATGAATTGCAACTTCATCAATCAAATATACAATATTACTAAACAAAAAGCATCAGGAAGGAAAAGTAGACATCAGACAGGTCAGCGTTTAAGCATGATTACCGGTAGGTTAAAAAAACAGCAACTTAGATGTAAACTTTTCAGAGAGCAGTTTAAATGTGCATCCTTTGCATTTCCAAATATAAGGAAGGAAGGAAGGGAGGAATGAACAAAGGACAGAAAGAACGAACGAATGAAGGACAGAAGGAATGAAGGAAGGAGTGAAGAAATGAACAAAGGACAGAAGGAAGGAGTGAAGGAATGAACAAAGGACAGAAGGAAGGAGTGAAGCAATGAACAAAGGACAGAAGGAAGAAAGGAAGGAAGGAGCGAAGAAAGAAAGAAAGAAAGAAAGAAAGACTGATCAAAATATGAAAAATATCCAACATCTTTCCAAATGTTTCAGCAAAGATGAAGGGGTGTTTCTGCTCCACCTGTTTAGACTTTTTTTTCCGACTACACACTCTGTTCGTTATTTTAATAATATGCAAGAGCCTCTGCATGCATCTCCTGCAGAGCGCATCCCACATATTCCTCAAACACACAGACACACAAACACCCTGATGAGATGTGAGGACCTGTGAGCAAAGCAGGGATAGGGGCAATTTCAGTCCACAGCATGCTGCCTGAGAAAAAGCTGCATGTCTCTCTATCCTCCAGTTCTGTTTGGAATATAAAATCCTAAAGTCTCACTAAAAATCTCAAAGTTCTTCACCTCCATCAGAAAAGTAGGGGAAGTTGTGCAGGAGCTCTAGATCCAGCTAAGAAGTCTTCTTAAACAAAATTTAAAAGAAAGCTGAACTGCAATTAAAACTGAATGTGTCACATCTTTAAAAAACAAAAAAACAACCTTTAAAATGATTAATGAAAATTAAATTAATAGAATGTTGATCGGTAAAATCTACTCAACTCTATCTCCAAATGAGAGTCTCAACCAAGGAAAAGGCCATAATAAAGCTTTGAAGGTTTGTTCTAAAATCTAAAAAACTTCCAAAATCATTTAAATTATATTTCTGGGATGGGGGCTCTTGGGTTTTTATACTTACATCGATTAAGTCTGACAAGTCGTGGATGTAATACTTTAAAACAGATGCATTTGTCGCCTCCAGTGTCAGCAGGTACTCATTCCGTGCTTTGATCGACTTCAGCTTGTTTTCCGAGTACTTGGCTTGACGCTGACAAGAGAATTAGAGGCAGGGATGAGAAACAACAGAGAGTGTGACAGGCTGGCTCTAACCAACAGGGAACAGCCTTTTTGACAAGTGATTATTGTTTTATGTCTCTGCAGGTGAATCACACAGCTAAGACTGGTTTACAGGCAAAACAAGGTTTTAGTAAACCTTAGAAAAAATGAGTTTGATTTATGTTAAAAATACCAAGAGAAGAAACAAAACAAAACGCCAGAAAAGGAGCTTCTGCTCTTTGATTCATTCGGATGTCTCAGTGATTTCCATCCTACACCAGACGGACATGAGACATGTTAGTCACAAAATGTTGACTGACCGGTGGGCTTTGACTCATCATCATTCATATTTCAAAAACAACTCCACATATGTTCTTGGAAAAGTTCTGCTGGAACCATCTCTTCCTTCATCTTTAATCATTTCCACATATATTCAACAAATTACTGTCCTGGGAGAAAAACATCTGCTTGTTTGGCTGTAAAATTGCTTTCAGTGTTTTTTTCCTAAAGATGGTCAGAAAGCTGAGAGAGAAAAAAAAAAACTACACACAAGTTTTTATGTCATTACAGGACATGTTTTCTTTCAGCTAGTTACAATGCCTCTTACAATTATTCAAACATCTAAGAGCTTACACATTTTAAAGCAACAAACTTCACTTTAATTGATTTGGGATTTTACCTGATAGTTCACAATCTAACCATACATTTCAAATTTTGGGTTTGAAAAAAAAGGGACATTTTACGAAATTCCCTGCAAGCCGTCAGACTACCCGAGTCAAGCTCCAGTGTCTGTTATGTTTGACTATAAGCCGCTGATATCTACTGAGCTGTCTCCTACCAAACCTGTAGGGGGAGCGTCGTGCCTGCTGCTAGCATTTTCTTGTGCTAAATGAAAACTAGCCCCTTTCCAACTTTAACTTCCCCCTCAGATGGTTAGGAAAAATCCACAGAAAAGCTGCTCCTTCTCATAAGTTGCATGGTTCAAAGTGTGGGAAAAAAAGTCGTGGCTTATTTTCGGAAAATACAATGTGTATACTTATATATATATATATATATATATATATATATATATA